TTCTATGTTTCAGTTGTTTTATTGCCCTCTGATGTTTCAGCTCTTTATTGATGGTAAGAGAAATGTACAAGGTGCTTGATGTATGGTTTTAATTTTCATATCTCCTCTGTTTCAGTTGTTTTATCTTCACAGCGAGCAACGTTATGGTTACTTAACTAACATTTTTTTTCTTTCTTGTATCATAACTTCTCAGTTAAAACTGTGTATTCAGTATATGTACGTTATGAAGGCTTATAATTATTTATTATATAAATAACTATTTACATTAATTAACCAAACGCCAATGTATGAAGACTCTCTGTTGGTTACGTTTTGTTGCTTTTAATATATATAAGACCACGTCCTTTTGTATATACCAAACACCAACAACACCAAATTAATCACTAAAACACAAAAAGAAAAGAAAAAATGACTCAGTTCATGGTGTTCTTGTGTTTGTTTATGTTCGTGATGGCTACCTCCGCGCAAGCCAATCAAAGTGGAAGAAAGGTATGGTCGGGATACAGGATATACAGTATATAATAACATAACAGCTTAAAAGATGGTAATATACGGATTGATATATAATGCAGGTCTACATCGTTTACATTGGAGCATTGCCGTCACACAGCAACTACGACAATATTAAACATCACCATTTCTCATTGCTTCAGAGTGCCATCGGAAAAAGGTGAACTATTCACCAATTCAAAGATACTAACTACACATGTAACATATCATAGTATTTCTGCTTTATAAAGTCTAATTACTTAGATGTGTATCTATATTATTAATCAGTTACACGCCGAGCCTAATTGTCGCCAACTTCGGGAAGACCTTTGATGGATTCGCCGCTTTGCTCACTGAGGAGGAAAGCAAAAAGCTTTCAGGTAAATATTTCGAAATTCTTTTTTTTTTTTCGTTTAACTTGCAAGATCAAAAAGAGTATTCATAAAACAATCGAAACTTTTGAGTTTTGATTACCCGAAATTTCGAAAAAAGGATGATAGTACGTGTTTTTATACGTAATGGTTATTCCTTTTGTTTTTGGTTCCTCTCTACTTGAAATTTGAATTATAGCGATGCCCGACGTTGTTTCGGTTTTCCCGAGCTGGAAGCTGAAACCCAACAAGGACGTGGACGTGGACAATTTTAGTGACTGGGAACTCAACACTCAATATTTGGCTCCTTTGTGACCATTCACCTTTGAATTCTTTTTTTGTACTAATCATACATATTTGTTGGACAAAAACATAAAATAAAAAATCATACATATATATATAAATCATCCTAATTTTACAGAATCCTCTTGAAAAAGGGGGAGGAAATTAATGAAACTAGGCCAAAAGAGATGTATAACTATGGTTTGTTAATGAGTTTTGAGTTTATTGAGTTCTCTTCTGTCTTTCTCAAGGACCGTCACTGTTCTTATGAAATGCTTTTGAGTGATGTACGCTCAACGTAATAATTTGATCTGCTCAGGCCTCAAATCTTCCGTTCTTACTGTTGTTTCTGTCAACTCTTCTTCGTTCACGTGTGTATAAATTAGCTTCTTGAATTTGCATGTGTTTGAAAAGTAATTCAGACATCCCAATGCGGTTGTAGGAGAAGAACAGAGTCAAAACATGCTTATTAAGAGATATTTTTTCAGATGCTGAGATTCAAGATTTGAAGTAGTTTCCATTTTCTGAACTTGTGTGATAGTGCAGCTGGGAAGAATATCAAAGTGTGGGGAAGTCTTTTGACTTTGATCAAATCAAGATTCAGAATGTGCTATATGGTTACTGTTACATCACAAGACGACTTGTTAGAAGAGTCTTCTTTTATATATTCTTTTTGTTCCGATGCTTCATAATTGTCAGAAGTGGACCACCATTCTTTGATTCTTTTCTCAAAAGTTTTTTAAGTTCAGATCTTTTCCTACTGGCCTCTCAAATTCTGAAGGGCTTTCTTTGTAAATTTACCTGATATGCAATTTTGCTACTAATATTTGTTAGTGTCAATTCTCAAATGAGCTTAACAACAGTGTCTACGTGGGCGTGCCGGAGTGGTTATCGGGCATGACTAGAAATCATGTGGGCTTTGCCCGCGCAGGTTCGAATCCTGCCGCTCACGCTTTTTTATTTTATTTTCATGTTTGTCGAATCATATTGAAACTCTTCTTATCTTCATGCATTTGTGTAAGCATTCTAAGGTAAATTTCTCAAAAAATAATGGTGAAAGTCCATATAAAACTCAAAAGAAGATGCTAGCAATGTGGTAAGAAAAGGCAAAAAAAAAAAGTATTTTTGAAAAATTCTTGTTCTCGGTATAAAAGGAAATAATCATGTTTAATAATAGGCAGCCTAATCTACATGTAACAAAGTTTTCAAACAAAATCTGCAAATTAAAGGTAAGAGAATATTTTCCAATCTATTCATTAAGATATCATTCCTTTGTTTACTGAGAACAAAAGATAACATTCCTTTCTTCATCGACTTATTTGACTAAATACTGTAATACTATATCAAGAACGTATCCCTAACGCTTGTTGTGTAATCCTAATCCCCAATCAAGCATCAAAGTATATTATCTCTCATTGATCCATTTATCCAAATATTTGGATCGAATCAATTTTTTTCAAATAATATTGTAATAAAAATGTGATTAGCATGTGATTAGTTTATTTGATTTTGGAACTCGATGAAGTACCGACTGTAACGTAAAAACAAATTATTTAAGAGTAGTTTCACTGGTGAGATTTAATGGGTTGTTTATTGTGTAAATGAGTTAAAATTAAATGCAAAATAAAATTGAAGGGCCGACAAGATGAAGAAATGTTGTTTCTCTTGGGCACGGAAGCATCGCGATGTAGTTGCTCGATGAGTAAAATATTTTTTTTTCTCTTTATTCTTACAATATTTATCTTTTTCCATTCTTTGATTTTAAACACTCTTGATGGAGTGTTCAAGTGAAGATAGTCTTATATCATTATAAACTATAATATATAATATTATATATATATATATAGCTCCCAGTTAATACATTGTTTATAAACAGAATATTGAGTATTCGTAGAAACGGGTAACTTTAGATCAGTTTTATTTACTTTTCTCCTTGCAAAATATTTCAAAAAGTCAAAAACAAAAGGCATATATTGTACTTTTTATAAAAATATATCGTACTTTCTACACATAAGTACATAACATATACGTCGACAATAACACGCATAAATACCATCAGTCCATCATACATACCCACAGACACATGGATGACAATTGACACATATAATACATACACTGATACACATACATGATACATACATACATACATATATGTTATTGACTTATGTTGGGAAGTGAAATAAGGACCAGTGAGAAGAATCTCTAACATGAGAATCTATCTCTTATCTAAAACTGGACAACAGTTCTCAGGCATTGCATGCTTTTAGGAATTTGACACTCTACGTCTAGCTCTACGAATACATAAACTTACAAAATGTCAACAGTACTTGTTTTGTGTGGATATTTGAGTAAATACATGCATAGTTTTCCATAATTTAGATGATGCTTTTGAAATATACGCGAATGGACCATTTATGTATGTACCAAATTTTCAAGGCAGCTAGAATTTTTGGTCTCCAATTTGATATATTATATGATAGAGATATATAGTTTTTGAGTTTTTATTCCCCCGACCCGGATCGAATATCTCTTCCGAACAACGTGTAAAGAACGTGTATAATCCATCATCACGTGATACTTTGCGAGTAAGACATATCCACTTCTTTCACAACTTTTCTAGTTTCTTTTTTTCTTTTTTTCTAAGAAAATAACCATGCATGCATGCTTTCACACTAGTTTTGCCAGTTCTGTCACATTTATATATACACTCAATAATAATTCATGACTTCTATTTTTTTTTTAAATGTTATTACCGTTAAGTTATATGCTAGTTTATAAGTATGGTTTTGGTTGGGGTTTTAATTAACTAGGACATTATGGTTTATCCGAATCAAAAAACCTTTTTTTTTTTTTGTCATCCTCAAAAAACCTATCTAGAAATTAATATTTTGCTATCAACTTTATATAATCTGTTTTTTTAAACTGACGCTTTGTTCTGTTATAGGCTTTAATTTGGGTTGATCTACCAAAGACGATCACTAAAATTATAATGTGCATGAAACTTAAACAAATTACATTATCCATTATTATTGTTAAAAAGGTTTTAAGATATTTTTTTCACTATATTTTTTTCCTAAATAATAATAATAATGATTGATGTGTGAGCCTTGAAGATAAAGAGAGAAGGAAACGAATAGACTTGAGCAAGTGGAGAATTTTTTGTGGACCTCATCTTCTCGTCTTTGATCAAATGTTCTTTTCGTCTCAAAAAAAATTGTAGATATGAAGCCATATATATTATTAAACCAATAAAATACTATATTAATTTTGGCATATTACTTTATTTTATTAATTAAAAATTAAAAGGAAACAATTTCATATCTAAAATATGGATCATATGAACATGCGTTTGATATAAAGAAGCTCAAGTTCTTCTTCGGTTCTCTTTTTCCACTTTGGCTCTATGTGATCAAGAAAGGTCGGCAACTTATCCTCGGAATAACACGTGGCAAGATATCATTGGTCCGACCTCAGATCCGACGACGCCGGACTTATCCTCTTGGGATATCTCTTTTGCTTATGTTAAGAGAGACATTGAACATTGAAGCCTTTCAAGAATCTCACTGTTTGTGTCTCTATCCGGAATAGAGAAAAGAATCCAAAGTTGTCTTTAGGTTCATACACTACCAAGAAAATATGGAGGAGAAAAAGGAAAAAAAAAAACTTAAATAAATCGTTACCAAATTTTAAAAACAAATAAACCCTAACCAATAAGAATGACAAAGAAAAACGATAGCGAAACTTCTAAATTTCTCTAACAAGGAAAATGAAATAAATATAATTCAGATTTTTAAAAAAAAAATTTGGGGAAAAAGTAGCAATAGTCTTTTCAGCATCAAGAAGAGAGAACATACCCATAACATAAACATCTTTTCCTTGACGGATGATGATGATCATGATCATGACAAAATGATGATGATGGCTCCACTATCTCCACAACCTCATCCCTTGTAGGATTATGTATATATATAGCCTCATTGAGATCTTATTGTAATACACACAACTTAGAAAACTATCACTTCTTCCTTCTAAGTCTCTTACAGAAGAAGAATCAGATTACAGTGTGAAATTTAGAAGTTACTCAAATGGAGGGTAAAGGACGAGTCGGATCATCAACTTCTTCCTCTTTCACCGCTGAACTCTTCGGCTCCAAAGATCCTTCGCCGCCATCTTCTTCCTCTGGCATCTTCTCCTCCATTTTCCCTCATCCATCCAAGGTTTTTATTACATTCCTCTTCAATCAATATTTTGTTTCCTGTGTCGCATGATTGATTCTTGAGGCTTAATCTTTGGTTTCTTGATTTGACTTCTCAGGGTGTTCCAAGAGATGGTTCAAGTTCCAAACATGCCTCACAAGGTCAGTGAGACAAAAAAAAAAAAATTTGTGCAACTTCCTTCTTCTTCTTTAGTCACTTAGTCTCAAAACACTCTGCTTTTCTTGATTAATCAAGAATGACTCTGTTTTTTTAACAAATATTTTATGTTTTACTAAACACAGCTCAACGTAGAGAATCTTCAACTGGAGAAGACAGAGTTGAGCCATGTCATCTAAGCTCTTCTCTTTACTACGGTGGTCAAGACGTATACTCTCGATCCACCACCAACCAAACTTACCCTGCAGTAAGTCTTTTTAACTTGTGTATATATTAATTTTACTAATCACCTCCAAAGACAGAGGACTTGACTGATTAGAAAAAACATCTCTCAGGCTAAAAATGAGCGTAGAAGAAGCGGAGAAGACGATGCTAATGGACAGAACTCGCAAGATGTTTCAAGAGGAAACTGGTGGCAAGGTTCTCTTTATTATTAAAGAACCACCACCTTAGTTTTTCCTTGTAAATCTTTCCAGAAACCCATGAAGCTCAAGCCAAGTACTAATATCTACTGAACCAAGACTTTGTATAAATAAGTTTATGCAGTAAAAAAAAAAAGTTATTTAGGAGACTTCAAAGATGAAGTAAAAATATCAAAGAAATCTCCTAAATAGTTTTGTCTAGTACTTGTTCTAAAGAACTGTATCAATATTTACTCTGCTTTTTGTCTATCAAATGTCCTTCAAAATGATGAAATCATTAGCCTTTTACCAAACACAAAAACTTTATAAAACTTATAATATATATATTAGTATTATCCGAAATGTTTTTATGCATGTATTGTACAAAAGCTCTTATCCGAAATGCAAAGAAAAAACCTTTCATACGCATCAGCCATTTTAGACGCTGTGAAAAGCCTCAAGGACCGTTCACGCGCTTCCTTGCCTTTCCTCTGCAATTCCTCTGTTCCATCGCTTACAACCCGCGAAATCGCCTCCACGAGAGACTCAACGTTCGGTGAGAAAGTGTATCCCAAATGTGGACCGACGACTACTGACCCAGTAATGCTTGCTAGCCTCGTGGCTAAGACTGGTTTCCCTGAAACCATGGCTTCCAAGAGAGTGTGATCTAGTCCTTGAGCTCGAAGCGTCGGGTTCACAAACACATCGATCGCGTTGTAGAATCCCGCTAGCATTTCTTGATCCAATGGTCCAAGAACGATCACATTATCCCCGAGGTCTCTATATCTGCTTCCCCATGGACCATCACCAGCTACCAAAACGACTACGTTTTCACGTGCCATCTTGTTCTCTTCAAACACTTGTTTCAAAGCTGAGAACATCAAAGGATGACCTTTATCTCTCACTAACCTCCCCGCAATTCCAAGAACCAAAGGATCTTTTTTGTTCTTGCCGCCGCTTCTAACGCCAAATTTCTCTCTAAAGCTCTCGCGTTTAGTAACGTCCGGTTTGAAAACGCTCTCGTCAACGCCGTTTAGGATGATGTGTACGCGTTCCTCGGGAATCATATAGATCCTCTTAAGTACGTCACCGCAGTGGTCGCTAGTTGCCACGTGGTGAGCGTAACGTTGGAAGAATTTGACTTCTTCGACGACTCGCTTCGCTCGCTCCGTCAGAGCAGGAGAGGAAGGCGGTGGATGCTCTTCTTCAGCTCCGGCAGCAACGGCGGCGGCGATGTCTGCTTGACGGAGGAGTTCTTGGATGATATCGGAGTGAAATGTCTCGTAAGCGATTCCATGCCAAGACGCTACCACGTTTGGGAGATTCTTGGCTCTTGTGTGGAGAAGCCCTACGCTCTCCGTGTGAATCACGTCAAATGGTCTTCCACTCGCGTTCTGTGTCTGCGTATTACGGAGAAAAATTCGCGTTAGTTTAACTTAAGTTCTACTCTTTAAATTTAATCCACACTGTATGATTGACTACTGATTATAGCCTAACCATAAACAAATTGACTAATACAGTATTATAGTTCTATTGTAATTGATTACTATTAATTATAAAATATATAAAGTCACTGGTCAGCAGTTGACTAAAAAAATAGTAACTATACAACACAATTATAATCAAAGAGAGTAATTTGTTTACTGCTGACAATTAAGTATTACCCACTAGTCCACCAGGTTCACTAGTTATACAAAAATTCAGCGAGATTTTGTTAGAATTTTTGTTAATTGAAATTGAGGATGGTGAATAGGTTTGAGTAATTCAAACAGTCTGTAAATTAAAGTGTGATATTATCATATTTGATTCTAAGTTGAATATGATTGAATCTGCAACAGACGCAACTATAACGCCATTTTTTTGTAGCCTTTAGTTAGTGTATAAGTATATATGATAATACTTCCGCACTAATTTGCACTACCAAACATTCAAACGCAAGAGAAAACGTAGCTCAGCCACGGAAATAGTTTTTGCAATTTCTAGTTTACCTGAAGCTGTTGCGAGACGGAAGCTTGATCGAGATATCCAGCAGCAGTGGGCTGAGAGAGATGAAACCGTAGATTTTTCAGTTGGTATACAGGAAACGATGGAGAAGCAGCGGTGAAAACATGAACTTCGTGGCCACGATTGGCCAGAGCTAGGTGCAACGTAAGCGCGTGTCGCTCAAGCCCACCGGCTTGCGATTTCCTTGGCCACTTTTTAACCACCACAGCGATCTTTAGAGTCTTCTTGGGTTTATACGGGAACGTGAGATGGTTCCAAGCTGAAGAGAAGCGAAGAAGATCAATGGTTTCATTGTTATGGTGATGATCATCGAATGTGTTAGCGTTGGGGTTGAGATCGTAAGGACAAGAACAGAGTGATGTGCTGTGTCTGAAGACGAAAGAGACGAATGAGAGGAGAGAGAGGAGCAGAGCAAAGTGACAGAGGTATCTGAAACTGAAGGAGAAGCTCACCAATGAGTTTTCTCTAGCCATTGAAAGTGATAGATCGAATCTTGAAACTCGAAAAATTTAATCTTTTGAGATAAAGAAGAAGAAGAAAATTAATTGTCATCAGCCGATTGAATCTTGAGAAAAAAGTTGACCAAGTGACTTGATTAGATTAGATTAAGATTAAAGTTGTGTTATTTACGTCACATGCACATGCTCGTCGTTATTTTATTTATTACTGGAGACGCTGAAGTAGTGATTGTGTGGCGTCGAGAGATGGAATGCGTGCCGTCTCAAGCAAAGAAAACGACAAGACGATTGATGTATGGTTTATACTTTATACACTATATGCACGACATCGTTTAGCAAGGCCTAAAATAGAAGGTAAAACAAACTATAAAAAAATAAGCGCCGCTGCCGGGGATCGAACCCGGGTCACCCGCGTGACAGGCGGGAATACTTACCACTATACTACAACGACATTTTTGATTTTCAATCACGTAATTAGGTATATATCGTAAAATATAAACCTTTCGTAATAGCTTAAAAAGTAGATTGAAACTTGGCAGACAAAATCTAGTTTAATCTATGGATCCTTCTGCTACGGTTGCGCATAACAGAATTGTTATATTGTTTTCTCAACTTCATCCACATAAATGTCAGCGTTAGAAGTTTGATTATCCCACACTCAAAAGTCCTATATCTATGGTTTAATGGTTGTTAGATAAAGAGCTTTGCTATAAAGGGATATAAGACCTACTTTCGTGTAATAAAAACAATTAATGGCGACTAAAACGTTGCAGATTACATCAATATTTAAAATGTGATATGCTAAATGCAATTAGTGGTAGGGACTATTTTTAGTATTTATACCGTTGATTCCAAAGAAAAAAGAGTAGTCATGTTTGGTCAGATCTTCATGTTCTGAATAGGTGAACCAACACCAACCTTCTCCCCCCTCTCTTTGTTACTTGGAAACATCGCATAAAGAAAGAAGAAACAAACATGTATGTTTTGTCCCCGAAACACTCATCCCAAGCTGCATTTGTTGACTTAATCCACCATAATCCCCAAAAAGAAAACGAAAACAAAACCTAAACCAGCATATTATATACCTCGTATCAATAGCTCATGAGAACTATATATTATAAAATAATTCTATTATATTATAATAATTTTTACAAAAATAATCAAAAAGTTGGCTTAGATATAAAATCATATAATATTGTTTAAACTTTACGATCATGGTTGCTAATGGAATCTTAATTTGGTTACCGATCTGGTTATGGTTCGCGCGCAGATCTCTTCATTAATTAAGTTAGAAGAAGAATCATATTTTATGTTTTAGGCTCTGAAGCTACTAGAGTTTGAGAGCACACACAACACATTACTTGTATTAGAAGTTATAGTTTGGTTGTTATTTTTTTGTAAAACTCCCTAGCTAGTTAGTATTTAATTTCATTCGGAAACGACGTCGACGATCTTAATATATTTCCAATTTATTTTGATGATAAGTATATTTTTTTTTCAATGTATCTTCTTAGTTGGTTTTATCTACATTTTGTATTGTTGTGGTATATATTCCTTTTGCTTAAATGATAGATTGAGAACAACATCCTTGTTGTTGGGTCATTTGGATTAAGGCTTCAGTCTCATGTGTTTGTTTTCTTGTTGTAGATTTACTAGAAAATAAGCTTAACATTTTGGTTATCAGTAAAAAGAAGTTGGACGCTGAGATGATTCATACATCCAATACTAAAAAATAAAAACTTCAAAAAGAGAAAACAAAAATAATTATCTGTATTGAGAAGAAAAAAGAAAGAAATTAAAGTACAAAAAAGCTAATTTAAAAACCATGACTAAATAAATTATTGCTTTCTAGAATTGTCAAAAACTATTCAAATCATTCAAACTATTCAAATGATTTAAGCTATAAATGGACTAAAAATTAAATATAAGGTTGAATACATTGCTTTTAGAGATTTTTTGAAAAACAAAAATATCACCTAAAAAAGGGTTCGTCATAAATAAATGCATTCATTCATAATAAAAGAAAAAAGGAAAAAGAAGGAAAGATACATATATACATATTTACATACATACATACATCTCTCAATCGTCTTTGTATATGTATATAAATAAGGTTTCCTTAATCCTTAATTCTGAAACTCTCTCGTGAGTCGCAAAAACTTGACAACAATTGGCAGGTGATATTGTCGTGTAACGCCTTCTTCAGCCTTAAGCTGTCCATCTGTACGGTCTTCCCGTTCCTTCTTTATAAAAAAATCTCAACTCTTCACCACTTACCCAAACTTCTCTCTCTCTCTCTCTCCTTCCCTCTTCTCTCTGTTCTTCGATTTGCTCTGTTCTTGATTTGCTCTGCTTTTCCTCTGTTTCTGTCTTTCTTGTTTTAGTTGGTTTGTTCTGTCCAAAGATATCTCCTTTTAGAGAGTGAGAGCAGTCAAATGGAATCTACTGAGCTACACGACATGGATTTCATATCAAATCCCTTTACTTCCTTCTCAGAGCCAAGTTTCTTCACTCCAAGCACAAGCTCCCTCTCCGACGAACCAGATTCACCAAAGCCACAGAACGAAGACGAAGATGACTACATCACCGAGTTGACTCGTCAGATGACAAACTATATGCTTCAAGACGATGAGAAGCATCAAAAGGTACCCCCAACTTTATTTTAAAAACAAATTCACTCCTCAGATTCGAGATTCTCTTCCTTTTTTCTTCAATCTTTTTCTTATTCTTTTTTTTTTTGATTCAGTCTCGTAGTGGTGGTGGCTCTGGCTCGCCGCAGTCAACTCTGTGGTCACCATTTGCTTCCGGTTACAGCAGCCCTATTGGTCCTTCACGTGAACCATCGCCGCCGCTAACTCCAACGGTGGAGACAATCATGGCGAAGGTCGATACAAAACCTGTGACCATCCCTTTTCAATCAAAACAAGCTCTAATCGATGACCAGATCCGATCTATTCAAGCAAACGTGAGCAGCTCATGCTCATCATCTTTTATTTTTTTTAAATCATTTGTTAATTTACTCAGTATCTTTCTTACTTTAAAAAAAAAAAAAAACGTCGGTTATAGTATCAACGGTCTGGATTGAATCTTGAAGAAAACTACAAGTTTTGTTTCCTTTCTTATTTTCTTAAAAAAGAGTTCGGTGTTGATTTATTTATATACTGTAGTTCCATAAGATCAAGAAGGAGAAAGAGAAAGAGAAGAAACGAAACGATGACGTTATGAGGAACAAAGCAAGGAACTACCAGCAGCAGAGACCCAGGTCGGGGGTGAAGGCGGTGTTCGTTGACGGGTCGGGTTCAAGAACCGGCGGGTCTGGTGGAACCGGAGTGTTCTTGCCACGTAGTCATGGTACTGTTATGGAGCCACGCAAGAAATCAGGTTAGAAGCCAATAAGCAAACAGTCATTATTATTTTATAATTAAACTTATCTCATTATTACACTTTCTTTACCTTTCTTCCGTTATAAGTTTTTCTTTTTTTTTGGGAATTTTATTTTTATATTTTGAAAAATTAGTGGTTTTCATGTAGGTTACGTATTATAAAGGACAAAAGAAAAAAAGAAAAAAAAGATAGGATGACGTCTTCTAACATTTTATCAAAATACTTTGAGATTCCACTTTGTGCTTTTTTTTGGGGGGTTGACAAAAATTGGAATCTTGGATAGTATTAAGATATGTCGTAAAATTAATTTCCTTAAGATAACAACTAAAGCATTGAATATTAGATTTAAGAGTTGGTTTAAGACTTTAGTCTTTGTTGATTTGCATATTATGTTATAGATTAGAGTTTGTAAATCTTTGTTATAGATAAGATTTCATATCCTGTCATGGTACACTTGCTTAGTTTCAGAATCGACTTTTGAATTTTGCACAAATTCCATTCTTTCTGTTGTGATAATCTTCTTAGCATATCTTTTTATTTATTTTATTTAACTGAACATGGTTATCATGTTGGGTTAAGGGTTAGGTTTGGTTAGTATAGCTGATTGAGTATCATCACCAATCATCTAAAGCTCGAAAACTCAATTATTTAGGACAAATATAATATAAGAATCTTTCTTACATTATTACATAGTTTGACTGAGCAAGATTCCATAGATTCCTTGTCACCAATTTAATCTTTCTATTCTTTTTATCTTAATATATTCATATATTCTGTGTGGCTATAGCTTTGACAGATATGGCCTCCCTAATTAGAATCTTGCCTCAACTCTTTGGTCCCCATTTGTACTAGCCCCTTTCCCTTTCAACCAAAATTAAAAAGAAAAAAAAAACTAAATCATTTAGGTTTATAAATCATTCTAATTCATTGATATAAGACCCCACTAGTTTCTTTCAATAAGTGGATTATAGTCTAAGATAACCTAAGATATTTATTTATACTTTGTCTTTGTGTGACTCTTTCATTTGTCACCACCGTTCGATCATTGATAATATACCCAAGGCCATAACCGAACCACATAGTATGAAGTTTTGTTTCTTTCTAAATATAGTATTTATATCCTCAGAGTTAGATGGACGACACTTAACCATGCAGGTTTGTTGATGATCTTTCAACTCTTAACATTAAAGTTTCTTTCTGACAATTTCATTTTTCAAACTATTATTAACCGTTACCCAATCTAGGAGTCGGTGAGTTTGTCAACAAAATATCAACAACCGTTCTTTTTAAGAAACTAATTCTTTGTTCTTCTCATCATATATGATTTTGAAGTTGTTTAGATTTTGGTGGGTAGGTGGTGGTGACAATTTTACTATTTATTGCACTGGTTGTATTCAAATTTGTTGTCGTTCCAATGGAAACTGATGTCTCAACCAAAACTGTATTAATCTTGAGTTGTTACTCTTACCGGTTTAGTTTGGTTAGATGTAGTTTCGGTTTGGTTTTGACTTTTGTGCCTGAAATAAATTTTGGTTGCAGGGTGTTCAACAGTTATAATACCAGCAAGAGTAGTTGAAGCTTTGAAAGTTCACTTTGACAAATTGGGTGTTCCTTCTACATTCTCTTCTGATATCCCTCCTTTTCATGGTACCAACCCCACCTATCTCTTTCCTATTTTTTAATTTCCATTTCTTTTTTTTCTTTTTTTTTTTTAAATCTTTTGAGTAAAGTTATGATTAACAAGAATTAGTTTACACATGTGTAAATGATTTAAGTAATAGTAATCAAATACATCGTATTTGACACATAGGATTAACTAATACAATGATTCTTGAAATTTACCATATAGATGCTTTGTTGGTGTCCATGAAGAACCAAAGTAACAAGAGTAGTTCATCATCTCGGCCGGTACGAAGTGCATCACCGTACGTGGTGGAGATGTCAGCCGAGAGCCGCCAAGAACCACAAGCGGATTTGCCTCAGGAGTGGACGTACTGATCAAACATTGGCACATGCTTTTGGTTGCTTGCAGTGATAGGTTTTCATAAGGTAGGGTCTTCGGATTGAATATCGTCTAGTGGGTCAAAAATAAAAACAAAAATAAAATGCTTTCAAAAACCATTATTTTTTTATTGGAAATATATAGATTTTATAGTTTTGTGATTTTTTTTTCTTTTTATTATTGTGATAAAATCAATAATTCTTGTGATAAAGAACAATAAATTGTACATGTATATATATGTATTCATATATATCGCATGTCTTATTGTAATAAAGGATTGTTTTTTTTTTCCTAATGTAAGATTCAAAATTCCTTGTAATAAAAGCATTACTGCATATTTGCATCTCCCCAGTGTAAGTAAAAAAAATGATTTTATTTGATTATTACATCTATGTATTGGTTCGTATGCTTAACTCTCTTGTTTACAAATTACACTCGTAAGACTTTATGGTTTTGGTTTTGAGAATAGCTATCACCTATCAGTATGGTATTTTGAACTTTCCTCAATAAAATTATAATAGGACAGACCTCTTTACCAAGTTGATGTATATTAGAAATTGACATTGACGTGAAAGGACTAAACATATATAAAAGATACGGTTTTGTGAATGAAGAGAACAATTCAATTTAAAATTTGAGAGAACGCGTTAAGATGTATTGTATGTTGTAAATGTGGAAAGATATGGTAAGCTCGTGGCCTCGTGGGTGGTCTTAAATCCGCCGACTTCTCTCGTACAGTGCGAAGATGATTTTGACTTATTCATCGTACTTTCACTTTATAAGGTTCATGTGCACTCACGTTTTGTCATTACTGATATTAGTTGTGAGCCAGTGACGGTGGTGTACATTACTCCACTCTCCTCATGTGACTTCTCTTAATTTCTCTCTCTCTCTCTTTTTTTTTTTTTAAATCACACCGACGAATCCTGAGGTTTAGGTTTACACATATCTTCATGCTACAGTGAAAATTAAAATGAAAAATAATTCCGTTTGAACTTAGTAGAACCCAAATGTATGTGGGTTATGGGTATTAAACTTTGACCGGGACTTGTTTGTTTACTTGTATATATTAGCATTGCCTCTATACGGACAACAAAAGGTCACATGTGTTGTGTATACTACTACATCAAAGCATGTCGCAATAGTTTCTCTGATTTTGTTTATTTCTCGTCAGCTGGTGAGAAATCATCCGATGTTTTCTGAGGTGAGATAACCAATCCGAAGTTTCTAAATTCAAAGTTTAATGAGGAAACCAAATACTAGATTGATTTCGTCTATATTTTGGTCTGATAAAAAATAATTTGCTGCGATTTTGCTTCCTTTTTTTTCGGTAACAAAACAAGCTTGTAGGATGATTATATAAGACTTTATTATGTTTTCTTATAACAAAGGTTTTATGGTGTTTTACACGCAACAATTTGAAGGTCTTTGATGAAATGACTCCACGTTTTCATATTGTAAAGTTGGACAGCAACTCAACGTTTTGCATATGCGTAATTGTGGAAACGGTATGGAATACATTTTAAACGGTATGGAGTATAAAACGACTTATGTATGGGTGTGACCAGTGGCGGATCTACCTTATAGGTAGGTTGGGCACGTGCCCTACACTGATTTTTATTTTGTATTGAATAACTCTACACAATAGTTTCATATTAGTTCATTTGGTAATGTTTACATGTAGGTAATATGAGAGGTGGGGTGTTCTATACCTTCATGTAGACTATTTTTACTTTTTAACTTTCGTATTTTTATCATATGGTATACTAATGTAGTATTAATTTTTAGGTATATTTAATATGTGCCATAGGTTAATAAATCTCCTGGATCCGCCACTGGGTGTGACTTGTGAGCCGTATGATTCGAGTCGAAATTCACGAATAATACCTCTTTTTTTTCAATTCCCTTTAAACTTTTTTTTTTAATAGCTTTTCAATATGAGATATTAATTTGATCATGTGGTGAGTGTGGTCCTTAACGAGTGAGATTGGGAGTTTCATAACCAACTATTACGAGATGGGCGATTGGAAGTTTTATAGTTTACATATATCATATATTGGATATGAATGCTTTATATTTGAAAATAAATATGTAAAACTATAAATAACACATGCAAAAATAAATAAGACTAATCCCATGTCACAAAAACATCCTTGTAACTCATAACTGATATATAAGCGCATTACTGTATATGGCAGTTGACGATCCAAAGCAATTATATATTGTATATTCCTATAGGCCCAATGATCTTTGAATCTTTCTCGCGTTTATCCAAACCAGTTTTACCTAAAATTCTGCTTAGAATTATATATACATTGGTATTTACGATTTGATCAAATCAAAACAAACGAATCTTACAAAACCGATAATATAGAAGAATAAATACAAAATTTTCCGTTTCAAAGATTCGCACTTCTTAGTCCTTCCTCCTTACTAATAGCAACAACTTCTTCCTCAAACTTTAAATTCATCAATTACATAAATTATTCTTTACTTCTTTAATAAATAAAAGAATATACTGTATGCTACATCAGAAATAAATAAAAATAAATAAATAAAAGTGAGGACTAAGGAGTTCCTGCCATACGTACACTAAATCCAAAAACGTGATACATTTTATTCCTATATTATTATTCCAATTGGGAAACAAAAATATAATTAAAAAACGATCAATACAACAAGCATCATATTGTAGTTTGTTATAAAAGAAAACAAAAAGGAAATCAACAATGTGACTGAACCTCGGTGTGACTGTCACTACTAGTGTCCCTAAAAGCCCTACTTCCACAAATCATAAACCCTAATCCAAAACCAGCCATTGCAGCCAAGAAGACTCCTCCATTGAACGACATCACAGCCAACATGACCAAATAAGACAAACCAGCCCTCACGGTGTAAACCACCGTCTGAACTAACCCGCCCCCGAAGCAAGCCGGACCAGGTTTCATGAAGCCGCACCGCGATAGCCACTCTGAGATCGCTGAAATAGCGAAAATGGCTAGGAGACAGAGGCAATACATTGTCAGACTGGTCCCTGGCCAGCCATCGAAAAGAACCTCCGTGTTTTTCCCCCAAAAAAAGGTCATATGCATCATGCCGCCGTGATGGCGGCGATGATGTTGGAAGAACGATGATGGTGAAGGTGCCTGAGAAGATCCACTCATGCCGTTCATTTCTTTAGAGATATTTCATAACGTGCCTTGAGAAGAGTTTTTGTTGTTGTTGTTGTTGTCGTGTTTGTGTATTTATAAGGGTTTTGTTTGTCTGGGTTGGAGTTTGGTGTGTAGTACAATGTACATTTTCACAACAATAATGCGATAATTGTGATTTTATGTTGAGTTTAAAAATTGTACTTCAAAGATATTTAGTTGAGGTTTAATTATATATGCTTTTAGTTTTTCTTTTAAATCTAAATCCAAAGCTGAGGAAAATCTAAAAATTGTTTATTGTCTTTGACTTTGAGACTCTGATGATTTCGTCTAGTTTCTAGCTTTACTGTTAAAAGCACCCCGAAAAAACAAAAACAAAAAAACTTAATATGTAGTATGTTAACTTAAATTAAAACCTCTGAAGAATGAACAAAACAAAACCGTGGAAATAATCATTATTAGCAGGCTCCCAGGCCCATTAATAATTCAATATACCGATTTAGATATAGCTTTCTCGAAAAATGTAAATAGTTTTAAATGCATGCAAATAAACCCCAAACGGCAAACGGTATTAGACGTAATCGTTCGCTTCAATGAGTTTCGTCGACGTAATGTTTACGATGCCTTTATGGAAGGAGACTCCCATATTTATACGTCTCTGGTCTCTCTATTCTAATTCTAGTATATATATATATGAGAGATCTCACAATCAATAAAGTTCTTTTACGCACTATAGTATCTCTATCGTAACCGAGTTTTGTTTCGTTTTTATGTTTTTGCTCCTTTCTTCATTCCTAATTAAGTTTTACGCTAATCAATCAATCAGATATTTGATTAGCATTTTATGTAGTCAATACCTCTAAGAACCGTGGATAAAATCTGTATCAATAATTGGGAGAGCGATCCTATATATGCTTTTATGTTTTGTAGAATATATATATCAAATCTCAATCCTATACAAACCAAAATTGACTAAGCAAGATTCTGAAAATAATCCATGAATGGTGGTCTTTGTCTGGTTTTTAAGAAGATATGATAATTATAAAATGAAGAGCTTAATATAGTAATAAATCAAAGGGATTGGAAACAAAAGTTTACTAATTACTAAAATTGGGGATTGAAGAGGACACAATTCTCTCTTTTTTTTTTTTTACTTTCTAAATATTACCTTTTAATTGATGTACGAGTACGACACAAACAAAAGTTTTTGATAAGTCAAAATACACAAGTTTGTACTGTACTATACAATAATATCAAAAATATACTCTTTTTATCTCCACAGAAACCAGAAAAAATTGTTCAATAAAAGGAATATCAATTAAATGCCAATCTACCAAACAACCAATTTTCTAACAATTTTCCTCTCCTCTCAAAACACACACAAGAAGAGCCAAAGAACAAACAAGAAAGCATGGATCACGGTCACATGCACGACATGTCTCCACCACCATCACCATCATCATCCATGATGAACAATGGATCCATGAACGGAGGAGGAGGAGGACACCACCACATGATGATGATGCATATGACTTTCTTCTGGGGCAAGAACACGGAGGTTCTCTTCTCCGGTTGGCCCGGAACAAGCTCCGGCATGTACGCTCTTTGTCTCATCTTCGTCTTCTTCCTCGCCGTCTTCACTGAATGGCTTGCTCATCACTCTCTCCTCCGTGGCACCTCCGGAGGTTCGGCTAATCTCCCCGCCGGGCTAATCCAGACCGCCGTGTATACCCTCCGTACCGGCCTCTCCTACCTAGTCATGCTCGCCGTCATGTCATTTAACGCCGGTGTGTTTCTTGTCGCTCTCGCCGGTCATGCCATTGGTTTCATGTTGTTCGGAAGCCGAGCTTTTCGGAGTTCCTCCGATGACCGGAAAACTAACTATGTTCCTCCCTCAGGCTGTGCTTGTTGATGATAATATTATGTTTTACATATATATATATATATGGATGGATATATATATTGATCCATGATCCATGCTTGTCTTTCTAGTTAAAGATCTAGGGGTTTTAGTTTTCTTGATTATTTTCTGGATTGTTCTTGGGGAGATTCGTGTGTTTGTGAGTGTGAGGACGAGGATTATTTGATATTTTCTGTCTATTTTTCTTTTAATATTTTATTTTCTTGCTGGCTGATGGCGAAAGCTGTAGATACCAGTTTACTACATTTAGACACAAATTTATTTTTTCTCTCAATAATATACAAAAACTTTTAAAAAATTTAGATAAGAGGCAATTTTTATATATATCTTTCTATCGAATACACCCAAAGTTAATGCATAGTTTACAATTATCCGTTTCAGTACTGTAGTCCCGTGACCTCGCTGAGATGACGACACGTATAGATCTTTTGGTTTATCTGGTTTGAGGAGTTTTTTTTTTTCTTTTTTAATAGTTAGATGTAGGTTCAGTAATTAATTTATAATCAAGTTACGAGACGAAGGGAAGAGAAAGATGATGATTAACCTAAAAAGAAAGAGATAAAGAGTTGAGGACAATGATTGATTACTCGAGTATTTAACCCGATAACTTAACCGAAGTAAAGTATATGCGGGATCGATCACAAGGAGCAATGGTACACTAAAGACTTGCGAGATTCGTTCGTACCTAAAGCGAAAAGGGTTTTTGTTTGGTTTTCAGTTTTGTAAATAAAAATGCAAATAAAAGAGAGATTTAAACTTATGAATTAAAGACATTGGGCTGCAGGGTATTTTCAGAGAATCAATGAATAACAAATAAAACCAATAAGGAATTCAGACATGAAGAACCGTTCTTGAACATGAACAGAAGTTTAGACTAACTCTCTCTCAAGACATTAATCACTAAATCCAACTATTCAATTACTAAACTCTCATTTGTAATTTCCTAGCCAAATTTGCACTATCAAACAGGTTCATTTGGTTCACAAAGCGTTCTAACATCAACTCTCGCAGGTTAGAAATACAATACTCAATTTACATTCATTCAGGCATTTTATCGAACATCTCTGAAACACATAAAAGCCTAAGTTCTAAAACAGGGTGATCAATCCTATTCTAGCATTGAGAACATGTAAATTGAAGAACCTAATGATTAAGAATTCACTAAGACATCTAATCTATCAAATCATTGAATTCTCCTTTCCGAAACCCTAAAACCCAATTTAGAGACTACTCAGACATAACAATCGAAACAAAGCAAATAGATTTTAAAGGAAACATGATTCAATAAATTAGAATAAGAAAAAGGTTTAGAAATCTTCTCCAAATTGTCAAAGAGGATCAATCTCTATCCCAGATGTTGCTTACAAGACTAAACTCAGAAAAACTGCTGTGAAAAACGTCCCATGAAAAACAGGTCTTTTTGGGTTTTAATACCCATTACAGAAGAAAATAGAAGTTAACTCCGGTTAAGGAAACCGAAATTGGAATGGACCGATCGGTCTAACAGATGGACCGATCGGTCTTTAGGCGC